TGTAATATTCCCTGCCTGCCTTATCCTTTAATCTTGCACCAAAAATAAGGATGTAACCTGTTGATTATATTTCATCAGAGCCTTTTATCACATTTATCTTTAGTAATTATTTTATTGACACTCCTACATTAGTTATAAATATCACTGTTTGTTTGATTTTTCTTGCCTGTACTGAACATAGCTGCTCTCTCCTCTGATTGTTTGAGTGCTTAAAAGTAAAATAATGAGGATACAAAGATGGAGTCGATAGGGTAATACTTTGCGTGCCTGCTTTTGGTTTTGAATCCTTGATAAACAGGGTTAATTAGGAGCATTGCCACAACTCACAGAACACAGACATGTTAAAATGCTCCAGTGAGTCCAGTTAGAGTGGCCTTTCATTTGTTTCCTAGTTTCCTGTTCTCAGCAAAGCCGTGACTTGTCTCTGATCTGTGTGGTCAAATGAAAAGCACGGAAATTTAATTTCAGCAGTGCTGAATTGTTTACAGAAGACAGGGGAAAAGAGGAAGAGGATAGGATCTTAGCTTTGCATGCGTAATTTGATTTGCAGTGTGAACCAGCCAACCAGGCCATTTCCCACTCTCCTCCTTGAAATGGCGAGCAGAGCATGGTCTTGAAATACTGCTGTGACACTCCAATTTCCTCTAACTTATTGTATATTGGTGTTGGAAGTTTGATTACAAGTGAGCCCCGCACAAACCGCCATCCATCAGCCCTGCTCCATATGCACAGGCTCACAGTTTAATGACCCCCAAGGAGTCGCCTGGACACGTTTATGAATCAGTCTGCCTGAATCAAATTACTCAGGCCCGGCATCTTACCACCAGCAGGCCACGACCCATTCTGTCTCTGTGTGCGGGCGTTGAGGTGTGTGTGTGTGTGGGGGGGGGGAATAAACTCCTTATCCTTACTCCTTACCTAACGTTGCGTTTCTCTGCACACAGCTTTATGCTGGGGCCATCCTCGAGGTGTGTGGATGAAAATTGGGGAGGTTCCCCCAAGTCCAAGGTGAGTTCTCTATCGGGACGTGATTATACTCTCATATTTATCATCTTGTTTTGAAATACAGCTGCAATTCTTTCCTGAAACTCAGCTTGTGCTCTCTGTGATTCTGTGTCCTAATCGATCACGGGTGTGAAATATATCCTTTTAAATCCCTTTTAGCAGTAGGTGGTCTAAAATGCCGGAGGGCCGACTTTCAAACGAGCTTTTGAAGTTTTCCTATCCTCTGTGTGTTGGGAGTAGACCTCCCATCTCTGCTCAGTGCAACGTTTGGTTAATTCAGTGTCAGGTTACAGTGATGGAGATCCTGCAGCTCGCCTCAGTATGGGGGTAGGCTTCTGGAGGCCTCGTCTGTGCCATATGGCTGTCGTTTGTTTACTTCAGCTGTAGCCATCCCGTCTTCTCAACTGTCTCCGCCGTTGTTAACGCTGCATTCTCTGGAGGCTCTGCAGTTGTCACTAATTACAGACCTCAGTACAAAAATAGAAATGCTAATTTACTGATTCATTGCCCAACATTTGTCTTACTGGTGTTTTATCTCCTCAGCTTTTGTCAGGAGTGAAAAGCCGAAGCTGTTCAAGGGTCTTCAGATCAAGGTAGGGGTGATGAATTGTATTGACGATGTAGCAGCATGATGAATGCTATTATTTCATAATTAGACACATTAAGCTTCATATGGAAAAAACATAAATCAGTTCACTCACAAACATTTCTCTGAATGTTTTTTTTCATTTGTATTGAGGGCAAACCTGCCATCCTAACACTCCTCCTCTTTTTCTTGTTCCCACTCACCCCCTCCCACACTGCAGTATGTGAGAGGCTCAGATCCTGTACTAAAGCTTTTGGACGATAACGGGAACATCGCTGAAGAACTCAGCATCCTCAAGTGGAACACAGACAGCGTGGAGGAGTTCCTGAGCGAGAAATTAGACCGGATATAGACACGAGAATCCAACGTTTTTTGTTTTTAGTCTTTAGTTAAAGGGTAGGTTCACCCAAAATACAATAGCTCTAGTGGGATCTAGCCATGCAGATATTTTCTGTTCTAGTGCCAAGGTTTTGAGATATCTGTCTCTGATTTCGGCATCACCCCTTCAGTGCAGTTTTGTTTGTGGTGATCAATGCGCTGAAAAATGACTTTTTACTGTAAATTAACCAGCTAACTCACTGGGACTATTTCTCCTCTTACTGAAGAAATAGTACCAATGGAAACTGATCAACAGACACTTTTTGGGAAGATCTGTAGCTGTAAATCAAATTGTTTCCAGTGTTTTGACCACCACAAACATTGTATTTAGGTTGTGGCCGAAATCTCAAGAGTCAGATCTTTTTCAAACTTCAGCAGATTAAAACAAACTATCTACATGGTTAGAGACTAGTACGGGAAAGTGAGAACTCATTTTTTGTATTTTGTGTGAACTAACTGTTTAGTTATATACCAATTTGTACACAACTTGGCCTTGATAGATGGTTGTTAAATCACTGCTCTATATGACTGTTTTTGTATCTGAAAGTCATGAATTTCTTGTCTGGATTTTACCAAATAACTTGTAAGACTATGTGAGGGTGTGAAAAGACCTTCACGGAGCCCAGCCGGGCAGCACATCTTAAGTAAGGATCACCATTACAGATTGATCATGGTTCAAAGTGGGTCCTTAGGTTTTAAAAACAATGCACATCATGACCTGTTTTGTTGTCCACCCTTTGTCCGATATTCTTGTATAATTGTTTTTTTTTTTTATAACGCTCAACATTGTGACTGATGGGATTAGTGGTGAGAATGAATCCTAGTTGCTCTCCAAATGCAGTCGTCTTTGCTGCGGCACACGTTGGTGAAGACCTCACAGTAAACCAGTGTTGGGATGTGAGGTCTGATGTATGTTTGTGGTTTTCGGCATCTTCTGCTTTGAAGAGAAACTGGATTTATTTTGGATGCTTGTTTTTGAGCGAGTGAGGTGACTGTTTAAATATGCAACAATAAACAAAGTCTCTGATGGTTTTTCTGTCGATAGTTTTTTTTTTTTCTAATGGAAAATATAAATGTATGATTACACAATCATCTTTTTTTTTTTCAAGTGCATATGAAGGTTTGTACTGTAAGTGCATCCCCTCAGACTGATTTAAAACCAAAGAGATGACTTTGCTGACATCTAGTGGTTTGTAAAGAAATTGCAGCTCAGTACTGTGACAGGTCCTTGACTGCAAGTTGACAAAGGGAAAAACACAGTAAGTGGTTTGTTCAAATTTGTATTGTAGCTTTAAATTTCAAACCGTATTGCCAAAACTAGCCCTAACATATATCTCTGTGGTGTATTACACCAATATCAATACCTGTAAGAAATATTGACCCTGTTTTCTTAAACTCTGTGTTCCCTTTAAAATTGAAGAAACATTCTTTAAAGTTCTCCTTACCTTATTACACTTACCTTTGGATAGTAGGTGTGGTCCATTTCTTTATCAGGGATTCTCTGAAAGGGGTGAGGAACTAAATTCTTCCCTTTTTGCAGCAGGAAAGTTCTAGATGCAAAATTACATTGCAAAAATACTCTATATCACCTCAAGGGACACAGTGGCCTGGATTTACCATCTCTGGCTTCTTTTCTGTTTTTTTCATGCAACCACCAGACTGGATCAACACTGGGAGATAGTGTAACTTTTGATTTTACTTTGCATGTTGAAGTTTCTTTCTGAGTAAAATAAATATATTTAAGTAGATAAACATAACAGACATTGGCTAAAGATACAGTAGCTGGACTTCAACCAAGGGCATTACTATATAAATGGATCTTCCTTTGAAATGTCTTTAATTCTATTTATCTATATCTATATCTATATATATATACATGTTAATAATGAGGTATGTTCTCATATACAATTTATATTGTTAAAAGTAATTCAAACCACTTGGAACCCACATTTCATTAATCACAATTTTATTAACATAAAAATAAAATGATTTAACAAAACTCAAGTAAAAAAAGATTCAATTACATACAGCATCTGAGCATTTATAAATATCTAGTAACCACTGAGATGTACATATGAAACTAAATGCTGCTGTCAGGATGAGACTATTATTGACTTGAATATCAGATAGTAAAGAAGTAGTAATGAATGCGTATATAAGGCAACTGAAAAAAAAAAACATCCCACAAAGCATGCTGCATGTGAAGAGTTAAAAGGACACGCCTTAGCAAACACAAGTTGTTAGACATAATTCTGCTCTTTCTTGCCGCCCTCTGAATGGCGATCACTCAGGTCGGTTTTGGTGCGGGTCTGAGGTTTGTAAACAACCCCTGGGTAACTGAAAAACAAGAGGCAACACATGGAGTTAAGGCAATTCTATATGATGGTGTATCTTCTGTATCTTCTTCAGTCCAAAACAAATCAACAGACACCAGTAAATGTGGGCCTTCAGACTTTAAGACATGTAGAGCTTTTTAAATCATCATTTGGACTCACCTCGGTTTTTCATCTTTCACCATTTCTCTGAAAGCCAGTGACTTCAGGATGCCTCCGATAAGCAGGACACCTCCTCCGATCCAGGCTACAAACAGAGCAGGGCCGAATGTGTATCTGTAAGGACAAACCACACAATTCAGCCAAAACAAGATACAACGTAGGTCCAGCATGGCAATAATATGGAGAATATGAATGCACAAGCAAAATAATAATAAAAGTTATATCCTACGTGGGCATTCCTCCCATTCCTCCTCCCATTCCTCCACCCATTCCTCCTCCCATTCCTCCACCCATCCCCATCCCTCCATTGTAGTTGTTGTAGGCGGACATCCTGAAACTGGCCACAATCTGACTGGCGTAGATAGAAGCTCCTGCGATGCCACACACACCTGAGAGAAGGGTGCAGAGACACACACTTTTTATTTACTTTTCTTTGCTTCACCAACTCACAAATGATCTTCCTGTCAGATGTGCTCCTATATTTTGCTATTTCTAACCATACCAGCGATCATGAACATGATGCCAGCGGTGAGGCTCATCTTGGCCTTGGTGGACTCTGCCATGCTGTTCATTGTGAGGCAGGTCAGGGAGAAAACTGATATCACCGCCCCGAGGACGCCCAGCACCACGCCCACGATCATCAGGGCTCGCACCGCCTGGAAGGCACCTAATGGACAGAAAACACATACTCAGAGACATTTTCTATTGAGTCTGATACTTATAAATGTACTCATCAGTTCATTGTATCTAATCAGCCTAGACTGCATAAAAATCTGCATCACTGGTGAAATCATGTGTCTGACAATAGCCTTTCAGCTCATGTTGCAAGACTTCAATCCTCTTAATCGTCCAAAGAGGATCATATCAACAGTTGTATTTAATCTAATTCAGTGGTCTGTGTTCTCCTAGTAGGTGAGCTGTAGGGAACCTGCCCTTTGCTTGTTGTTTGTTCTGTTTCTGATAACTGTGTTGACTAAGTCTCGGCCCGGCTGTCCATTATAGTGACCAGAATGCACTGGTGCTAATGCAAATATTGATAGGAGAGGGCTCGACACCAGAACAACAGTTTGTCTGTATGAGGACGATAGAAACTGAGAGTAAAAATGATTTTAAATTTTTGGGGAAATAAAAGTCACCAGAATAGCATCAGTAACTGTATATTTTTCCTATTTAAGTCACATTCATTCAACTTTTTTTCCACTTCATATTCCCTTCCCTTGGTCATCCACGTCCCACCTGCAGTGGCTCTTTGCCCCACAGTTGGAGAATCTCCGCACTAGATAGTCATACCAAAGAGAGGCTTTTTGCTTTTGGCTTCCCTTCATGAAATACTCTCTATTTATCCTTCAACACATTAATGAGTTTAACTTTTGATTAAAGTGCTTTAATCTCTTTAATTAACACTAATCTCATCATCCTTTTAGTAATATTTTTCAAATTTATAAAGGACAGAGAGAGACACGATTTGACCTCTTACACCTTAACCAGTAAACCTGCCTCGTCATTTGAGAAGAGCTTGTTAGGCCATCTTGGATCTTGACAAGCAGAGAGAGAACGTCTTTCTAACCCTGGTACTTGACAATCATGTTTAGTCACAACTTCCTTAATCTTCTGCATCAAAGTTCCTGTGATCAGAGAAAGTTCAGCAAACATCTAACAATGAATCTTTTAAGAGTAGAAATGGGAGAATTTTAATTTCCTCAAAAGAAAAACTCATGAGGCTGCAGCCGTGACCGTGAAGTTGACTAATTCTTGACACAGTTTGGCCGTGTTAAAATATTAAAGCAGCAATGAACTAAAACTAATTGAATGGATGTGAAGAGTAAGTCACTGGAGAAGCTCTGCACATTAAAACATAAGAGAGATTTTTCCTACCTGAGAAGCCCAGGAGACCATAGAGCGGGCGACACTCGGTGAATCCTGAGGAAGCCGTCTCACAGTCCTGCCACAGACCCTTGTAGGTGTAAACAGACGTCACCACATCCCCCTGCCTGTCCTTCACACTCCATTTGTTCATGGCAGTAGCTGCGATGAGGGCCGCTGCACCCATCAAGCCTAAAATGAATCCACCGTTCTGGAGAACTGAAGGCGCCATTGTTGCTTGCTCCTTCAGAAGTTAGGAAATGTACCTGAGAGGCACAGTGTGCGTGTGTGTGCAGGATGGTTTGTGCCCAGTTTAAATAGATAAAGAGCCTAAAGCTTGAAGTATAGCTGGATATGTAAAAGGTGAGCAGGTGTGTGGAGTGTGGGCAGAGAATGAAAATGGGAAAAGTGGCACTTTGTAGTGATGGTGGCGTTGGGTGGAGACGGTTGAGTTTCAGCCAGTGGGTGATACAGCAGCATGGGTTGGGCCGTTGTGTTCAGAGGTGTGGACACAGTGGTGATAGGCGCACCTGGCACCTAAATGAGAACTAACTGTTTAAAAGTAAATACGAGAAACTGAATCACTGATTCCACTGCCGCTTTCGATTAACCGCCAACGGTTGGTCAGTGGGTACATGATGCAGTAATTTACCTCATCGACAACCTCACAGACAGACATGCAAACACACAGAGACTCGTCAGAAATGAGTGTGTCGCTCAATCAGGTCTAATGTAGTGAACTACCAGAAAGCAAGTAAGACCAGCACAGGAAGAAAATAAAACAGAGAGATTCTTGATTAAGACGTGATCCTGGACAGAAACATTCATACAGTTAAATGTAAAACCTTTTCTCACATCCACAGAGAGGCCAGAGGTCAAGCTCAGCTCAGCACCTTTGGGTTGATAAAGATTTGGTGTTTTGCTCAAGGACACTACAGAAAGAGTAGTGCTGACTTTAAGCCTTTCTATTTAATCTTAAGAACTGTCTCCCCTCCTGAGCTGTCCATGGTGTCAAGTAAAAGCCCTCTGAATGGGGGTCCTGGTGGCCGCTGACCATTGTAGTTACAGCGTCCCTGGATCATGTCCAGCCAAGGACATCTGTTGCATTTCTACTGTGTGCTATCTAGTAAAGCCCTGTGGTCATGTTGTATGTTTGGTAATGTCATACATCCAGACTGAAACCCAGTGGTTTCAGTGAGAGGACTCATTACCTCTTACTAACGTTGAAACAAACAGCACCTCATACGATTCCCATGATTCAATTTTTCAGCTTATCACTCTGTCAACAGCACGGGAGGAGAGAAGTTCTTTTCTATTCTTCTCTTATCATGAGCCTGGCTTACTCTCTCTCCCTCTCACAGAACAACACACAACAAAACTCATACAGTAGTTACCAAACACGATGGGATTAGAAAATATAATTTTGTTTAAATTGAATGTAATTGTGTTGTTTTTTTGTTGCATTATATCTATATGTGTTTTTTTGTGTAAGTCTCTGATGTGCCCTTTATCAAGAGATTAGCTTGTTTAAATAAGAGCGCTCAGGCAGTCAGGAACATGAAAACAAACTTTCCGCAGTTATTATTACAACTGATATCTGACATAAAATGACATTTAAGAAAAAAACATTTACCACATTGACAGTCAGTAAATATTAAAAAAGTTGATGTGAATCCTCCCAAATACAAAGTATAATAATATTAATAAAATGATCACACCAACATTATTCACTGAACAGTAACTGGCTTTTTATCCAAAACTAATGTGGCTGCTTATATTACATTTTTAAACATTGTTTACACAAATATTTTAAAAGAAAAAAACTCCAGTTATAAGACAAGAATTTATGGAAACATTTATTTTTTCCACTTCCAAATAAAAACCAGGCCTACATACTGAGAGGGGCTGGGGGCAAACAGGTGCTACTGTCTAGATTAAGAATGTGTGAATCAGAAGTGCAAAAACTAGACTTAATGCCATTTAAAAATAAATGTAAATAAAAATGTCAGTAAACACTTTGGCTCTTGCAGGCTTCCTCTGCCGTCTTATATCCGTAAGAGCTGTATATCTGACTGATCAATTATATAGAAAAGTTATGCATTCACTTCTTGCATACTATTTCTAACTGTTTTAAATGTATGTCTTTGTCAAAAGAGTAACAAAATAGCTTATGCACTTTGTTCTCCAAGTCCTTAATCTGCATTTACATTGAATAACGAGTAATATAGAGACTTGTAGTGTGTTTTTGGTGCTCAGCATTTTATGGCATTTTGAAATGTATTTAATTTCTGCGGAAACACTAGCCTATAATACTCAGTTTTGCTGTGATATAGGATGAAAATATGTATTGTAGCCCAGTTTTTCCTTTTCCTTTTGAGTTACATGGGGAAGTCCTGTGCGCAAACTTTTCTCGTTCCATCTTCAAGTGTGTCCGCTCTGTCACACACTGGAGCTGGGTGAAGTGTACGAGTCCATGCCGCTCTTGGCCATCCCTCCAGGGAAGACAATATAGGCTACCTGAGGCTGTAAACTGGCAGCAGACCAGGCGCTGCAGTTACACGGCACCACGTATCCCGGACTGGAGGGGGACGGGTGGGTGTGGGTGTGGGTGTGCTGTCCGGGGCAAGCCAGACCCCCAATCCCTCCAGTCTGGTATCCAAACGTGTGCGCGCTGAAGGGCAGAGCGCCGGCGGCCAGAGCGTGCGGTATCTCCGCCATCCGCTGGACAGCTCCGGTGCTGAACTGCGCCACGGGCTCCAGCAGCGAGAAGGACGAGGAAGAGGAGGAGGAGGAGGAGGGAGCGAGGAGAGCTCTGGCTTTATCCCCGGGGACAAGGAAGGAGTCCATGGCAAATCCCTTCAAGTGCTCCGCTGCGTCCCCGAGGAAAGACGGCAGCGGGAAAACGAAACGGTCCCTCTTCAGGAGACTCTTGGGTTTGCGCCGGGGTCTGTACTTGTAGTCCGGGTGTTCCTTCATGTGCTGAGCCCGCAGCCTCTTGGCCTCGTCGATGTACGGACGTTTCTCGGAGTCGGAGAGCAGCTTCCACTCCGCGCCGAGTCTCTTGCTGATTTCAGAGTTGTGCATCTTTGGGTTCTCCTGGGCCATTTTCCTCCTCTGGCCTCTGGACCACACCATGAAGGCATTCATGGGTCTTTTGATGTGATCTAAAGGTTTTGCCATATCAGAGAGTGACACATTAATTAATAAAACACACACCGGTCCTAAATTAAGTCAACCTTTCCAAGAAGCGCATGCTCCTCTCGTGCGTAAAAGGAGAAGTGGCGAACAAGTGTCAAAGATAGATTCAGTTAACAAATAATTTCTCTCTTTGGTAAGAAAATACTACAGACTGTTTCTCGAAATTGACTGAAGTATTTGCACAAAGTGGACCGGATAAGTAGGCTACATAAAGCGCAAAGCCTGGGCGCATGAATGGGAGTCACAGAGGACCAAGTTGGAAGCTTGTTATGGATGATGCTGGTCATGTCAACCCCCCATCACCACACCACTGTCACGGCGGGCCAAGCCAATGGGAATGAGAGAGAGCACTGTAATCCCTTCACAAAAAGTGACTGTACAACATTTCTGAGGGACTCCCTCCTTCTCCCTCTAGTTTAGTCCCTGCAAATGTCTACGGAGACAAGTGCAGGCAGGCAGGAAACACGTGAAGAAAGTCATCTGCTGCACAACACAGAAGCAGAAAATTAGAAATTAGAAGGTTTTATAAGGGCTAAGTAAAATATGGGAATCATTTTGCACTGCTGCTCTTCATTGCCTTATAATGAGCTGCATGGCTCATTTCCTTAAAAACGAGTTTATTTCAGAAGATCTCAGCAAAATTTGTTGTATGTTTTAGTCATGTGAAACCACCTCATTAAACAAGGGGTGTAGCCATCATTTTAGAAATACAAAGGTCATGAGTCAGTGACCCCCAAACGCACCTCACACCCCCCAAAGAGAAAGTCTATAAATGTTGGTATTACTTGGATTTTACATTGTTAACTGATATATTTTCTGCATGTATCATTGTAATGGAGTGGTTTTTTCAAGGGAAATGAAAGACAGCATCACTAAATCAACTGTCAATTAGTCCATGGTTACATCCTTTTTTCTAATAACCTCCAAGGAAATTATAAGGAAATTACTGACCCAAAAAATAAAATGTTAGATAAAGGTTTATTTTCCAACATGAAAGTCTACATGTTGTTTCAGAGTTACCAGAATAAAATCCTGGGGAGAAATTCTGAATCCTGGTGGAAAACGGGTCAAAAAGTTGTGGAACCAGGCTACAAAAAAAGGTGAAAAACTACAAAATTTCCCCCAAAATACAGAAGACGTGACCCTATATGGCCCTGCATGAAACAGAATGAAATTAAATAGGTCAAAGGTCAGTGAGTGGAAACTCTAAACTTTGCCTCCATCTTTGTTGCAAAATCACTCCCAAATTTTACTTTTTTAAACCTTGTCCTCAAAACTGACATAATCACTAATTTAAATTCTTTCCCACGATGCCATGCAGGTTTCTTATCCATCAATATGTGTGCAAGCGGCTCACCTCTCCCTCCTCCATACTCTACAGAATCAATATTAATCACAACCATAATTCACCGGCCCTGGGTGACTCCATTGGTTGTTACAGTTTTCATAATTACTATACCTTATCTGATCAAATATATGCTTCAGCCATCTGGTCTGTTATTGAAATGACATTGATGGAGAAACGTCTGAGCAATAACTTAACTATATAAATTATATACAGCATACTGTATGTGTACACTGCTACTCACAGGAATATGTAGGTGCTTATAGGTAACAACAGGGGATTACTTTATGGAGTATGTACTCAGGAAACTCATTTTACAAGGAGGAATTCAATACTATCTTTCTGGGCGTCTAAGTGGAAGCTTCCAGGTTGCCTCAAAGGCACCAAAAATGACTTCTGCAAAAAGGATTATTACCATGACAGAAGCATGATGTGTTTCTCCGTAGACAAACCTGTGACTGTTAGTTGGAGCTCTGGGTTTAGGTTTTGGTAGCTGCGATAAACTTAGATATCAGGGTACCAGTGAGGAGGGGGGCTTTATTTCATTTACCTCCCACAATCAAAGGCACTGCGGGCCTCTTCAAAGGCAAAATAAATGGACATAAAAGGTCCAGTGGTGCACACGCCGTCGGGGGTAGAGATGATAAGACGTTTTCAGGGAGTGTTTTTCTCTGGGTTTGCTTGGAGCA